TAGAAGAAAAATCAGTGGAACAACTTGCCTCTAGAAGTTGTGAACGCTCCACAACTGGAATTTTTAAAGAAGATATTGGATAACCATTTGTCTGAAGTGGTGTAGGGTTTCCTGCCTAAGCAGGGGGGTGGACTAGAAGACCTCCAAGGTCCCTCCCAACTCTGTTATTCTGTTTTCCTAATATTTGAGAAGCTGCCACAAAGAGGGGGTCAACTTATTTTCCAAAGCACCAGAGACCAGGACAAGGAACAATAGATGGAAATTAATCAAGTAGAGAAGCAACTGGGGATTAAGGAGTAAGTTCCAGTGAAAACAGTGAACAGTGAAAACAATTAATCAGTGAACAGTTTGTCTTCAGAAGTTGTGGCTTCATTACTGGAAGTTTTTAAAAGGAGTCTGGACAGTCACTTGTCTGAAATAGTATAGGATGTCCAGCTTCAGCTGGGGGTTGGACAAAAGACCTCCAAGGTCTCTTCCAACTCTATTCTGATTGACTGATTGATTGATTGATGTAAACTACAAAATCCTGGCTGGGTACAGACTAAACACTACAGTATATGTATGGTATATGCATGTTTTCATGTTAACTAACTGCTGATAAAATAAATGCAACTTATTTTCTTCACAACAAGTGGCTATATTGAAAAATCTGTTCAAATGAAGAAAATAGGATTTCCTTTTGAATAAACCTCTGCATAAATGAGTGAGCTTTAGGCTGGTACCAGAGAATAAGGAAGATGGTCTTTATGGAGCAAAATCAGATTTTCAAAATTCTGTTTAGTATAAGTGTTACTAATGAAGCCAGTTTTAGCCTTTCTGTGGGGTTGAATCCCTAGTCTGGTCTATCTAGTGAGGGTGATACAAAGACATCCATCAGGTTGTGTCTGGTGAAATAGCTATCATATTCGTTATAATGGTTAGCTCCAATACAGGTAGTCCTTGACTTAACCATTTGTTTAGTGACTGTTCAGTTACAATGGAACTGAAAAAAGTGGCTTGCAACTAGGCTTCACACTTATAACAGTTGCAGCATCCCCATGGTCACATGATCAAAATTCTGGTGCTTGGCAACTGGCATTTATTTATGACAGTTGCAGCCTTCTGGGGTCATGTTATCATGACTTGTTGCTGTCATGTTATCATGACAGCTGATTTCCAACAAGCAAAGTAAATAAGAAAAGCTGGATTCACTTCACATCTACAGCAAAATAGATCTTGCTTAGCAATGGAAATTCTGTCCTAACAGTTGTCATAAACTTAGTATTATCTATACACAATTTATTGAATAAGTGGTTGTGAACAATTAGCATCACCATTAGTAGAATGTAATAACATGTGGGAAGTATTACGGATTTGACAAATGTATATAACCATATAGCCATATCTATATATCTATATCCAAGGACTGTGTTGAGTTTTATTGGCTAGTAATGATGCCAGTAAATGAAGTTATGTCTGATAGAGGAGCTTCTTTACTAAAAGGAACAACAACTATAAGTATATTATCTGGAACACTTGTAGGAGCACAGCAGTAGCAGGAATGAAATACAGGAATGAAATGCAAAAGGAAAAGGACCATATTATATTTGCACAGGCAATTCATCAATGAGCACTGAACAACCTTCAGAAGGAAAAAAAATGATGTATTTAACTGAAATTGCTATGTCATAAGAGCTACTTTACATTGCCCACTATAATTGCTTATTTAAATAAAATTGATTTTTAAAATAACCCTACATTAATTTTTCACACATTTCTCAAGACAATGAGAAAAGTTGTACATTTCCCTTTTTAATAATCTTTTTTGTATTATATTTCAGTCATATATAAATAGATCAATTGTTCATTATTGACTCCAACCTTTTAGCCATTTGTCTGCTGCATTAAGCATCACATCTCGCTGTTGTTTATAAAAATCCACCACACTAGCAGAAGATGAGAAAAAGAAAAAGAGAAAAGCATCATGACAAAGAAACACTTCGAAATTAACAGTTCTGATGCTGAAAACAAGGAAGCTAATTTAGGAGAGGGGGTTCCAACCATGGCAACTTGAAGACTCAGCATGGCTGGCTGGGAAATTCTGACTTGAAGTCCACAGATTGTCAACTCCCTGGTTTAGAGAAGACTTTGTGGACTTTATAGAAAGAAAAATTGGTTATAAAGACTTCTGTGCCTTAAATGACAATTTGTAGATATTCTCCAACATTAAGACAATTTTTTGTTACTACAAGCAATTGTTAAATAAAAATCTGCCAGAAGGAATACTGTATATATAATCAGTATGCAAAGAACATTACATGGCCTTCCTCTGCATGGTTGTCTTGTGTATATCTGTGATGCATTCAAACTATATTGATTTGTGTGCACTTGGATGCATCATTCCTAATAACGATACACAGATTTTTTTGTTCTTTAATGATATCAGAATCATTAAAGAACAAACAAAATCTGTATATCATTATTAGGATCATTTATTGTTCAGATGACAATGATGATATAAATGTGAAGTATTGGATTTCAATTTTCAGTGACTGTAGCACAAATATGAATATATTTCTGTCTCTTAGCTCTTTTCTAGCACAAAAAGATAATTATAGATTGTATACCTGGTGGGAGAGGATGTCCAAATAATGTGGACTATGGCATTCTTATATAAAACAACATATGCAAGCTACAACTGAAACTGTGACCCAAAAGGAAAACAATATGAGATAGGATGAAAAAAAGCCTCAATAAATTACATAGAAGCTTAATTCACAGTTCTAGTAACCATTATCAATGGAAACACTTTGGTAGCAGGAATTTAAACAGAGTTGGTCTCTGAATAGAGTTCATGAAAAAGCATTCCTTTTTTCGTCTGCTCCTTTCAAATGTACAGGACAGATTGCAACTGACGCCAGTGCGGTGATACATTTTAGCCACTTTATAGTAATTTCTTGTGAACTTATCCATTTGATGTAAACTATCCAGAGATACCAATTTTGTTTGCAATTTTTCCAGTTTCCCCAATTTGTAATTTATTTATTTTTACAATTTCCAAAAGTCAGGATATAAAATGCAGAGTCCTGCAAAACATGTACAGTAAGTAATTTTTTGATACTGTTAGAAATAGAAATTTTATTCTAAATATTTTTAATTAGAAGTTAGCATCACTTGCTGCATTATCAGATATTTTAGATCACAATGTCCAGAATTTCTAGCAAGTATTTCAATGGGTAGCTCTCAGGCAATTAAATCTGAATTCTATAGATTCAAATGAATGGATTTCAGCACAATAAATTGCATATATTATTGTGGCCATTATAAAAAATTTCTTAATTAGAATTCTATACATTCAAATAAATGGATTTCAGCACAATAAATTGCATATACTATTGTGGCCATTATATAAATATGTCTTTATGCACAGAATATGTGTGTGTAGAATTATTTATGACAGTAATATTAAAATATATATTCAAAATATATACAAGAGCATGGTAATTAAAGAAGACATAAAATATGCCAAAACTGAAATATACTAAATATATTTACCTGTCTATGTGGTCCAGGAAACCCTTCAGTCCCCATTGTTGAAGAAGCTGGGCTATTATAAGCTATAGAAATAGTGGGGCTACAGTCAATATGTTATTTGCTCATCAACAGACACCAGTAAAAAAAAAAACCTAAAATGGCTTAATAAACAAAAAAAGACCATGTAACACAATCCTATGAATAGGATGATTAGTCTTAAAAAAATCTACTGCAGGTCCATGTTCAGGAAATTGTTAGGAGTTAAGACTGAGTCAAAGAATTAAAAAAATCTATGCACAAAGTGCAACCTTGTAAGATTTGAAACTCTACAATCATTTTTTATAAATAGATATGCTAGGCACCGATACTATTCTGTTAATACCATAGTATTAACAATAGTAAGTAATAGTAGTTTGGTGTTGTGTACTTTGGGGTGATGTTCAAAGCATTGCTTAATTCAGGCTTGTTCACAGCATTATTAATACAGCTACAGAAGTGGAACAGAGAAAGGGCTCACTGCAGAAAATCTAATACTATATCTATAAGATTTTTCAAATGCTCACCACTGTAAACAAGTTATAAAGTATTTTAACATGCTATTAAATAGAATCAGTGACAGAATATTTTCTTTTTAAAATGGCCTAGCTTTTCATCCTGTTGGTATTTTTTTCCTTATGAAAAATTTATTTTTTATTAAAACTATGCTAATCATACATAATATATAGTATTGAGGAATTATAAACAATGAAGAGCTTTTTTTAGTATGTTCAGTTTTAAACAATTCTGTAAATACATGGATGTTATATTGATGTTTGTGTCTAAAAGTTAAGATAGTATATTTTTATATTTAGTTAGAAAAATGATAATTCTTACTTGGGTGAAGGTACTGGTGTGCATTGTGGAAACCTGTATATGTAGAATAACTCTATCAATTAATGGCTTGGGACCAGTTAGAAATCCAATTCGTAGCCTGTGCAAAAATAAAAATATACTTAAAATACTTTACCTACCCATAAAATGCCATGTCCAAAATTGTGGAAGACAATATATATCCTAATATTCATAGTGATTTTGAGGCAACAAAAGGGAATTATGAAAGTATCAGAAAGAGAAAAACAAACCAATTTTATAAAAGTTAATGAAGTAGGAATCTAAGTATTATGGAACAATTAAGACAAAGGAAATATCTGATACTGTTTCAGGAAAAAGATTAGTGTCATGAAAATTGAAGAGCAGAAGATGTATACATGGAACAGCACTTGACTGTTAAACCATATAAGTCAATTTCAAGGAAGACTACAATAAAAATATCTTTTTTTTTTCAAATTAAATGTATACCAGTAGCTTTAGGGATTTTCAAGTGTGTGCTTGGCCAGGCAATTCTATGTCCAGCTATGGTGCAATTGAGTTTACCCGGATGACAGGATCTTAGAAAAGGAGTCAGTCCTGATTACTCTGCCATCTATGTCCATTGAAAGAAAAGTTGGTGCCCAAGGCTTCGGGAAAGAAAGTAAAGGTTTGCTGTTAGTAACTAATACTTGCACATGGTGGCTCATATGTTATGAAAAAGTTTTAAAAAACAGTGTACATGCATTATGAAACATATTCATGCATCAAAACTGGGCTACATCCAACATTTCCATTCAGGTATCAGGATTTCCCATTATATTCCTGTCCATCTCAATATCTGTCCCAAATTTATTCTGTAACATCCATCAATTATTTAAAGTATAACCAGGTATGTACAAGAAGTGGCATATTTGGCAATGGAGAATTACCATCATTAATGATTCCTCTTGACCGTAATATATTATTAAGATACAAAAATTCTAAACAGAATGTTTTGGACTAGTGTTTTTTTCCTTAAATTGAAATGTGTGTAGATGAAATCACAGGTATGCTACTCATATTTTTAATAACTGATAAAAACTGATATTGCTCAGCATATAAGTCTATAAACATAATGATACTCTCTTATGGATACTGTTGTGGCTTGAAATGCATATGTACAAGAAGTCTATGGTATGCCTTCATGTCTGTAGCTTTGAAAACAGCATCATAATTAATGGAAAAAATATTCTACTGACTGTGGAAATAGTAGTGACAAATTGTAACACGATTTATAAATTTGTATCTAAAGAATTCAAATTCATACATTCTTTGCTGTGCCTTCTGATTCAAAAACAATTGACAAAAAGTCACCTTGTTAAATTGAAGGAAATAATATGGATCATCTTCTATTATAAGGAAATCATACTGTCTTGCAAGCTGAAAGAAATATATACACCTATATTCATACACACAGACAAAATAATAAAATAAAACAATTATTTCACAATGATATATTATGGTTACCAATTAGCTCTTCTCTATTGTTAAATAATCAGTTATTTTCGGTTGGGGAAATTCTGAAGTCTGTTTCAATTTTCTTACTGAAATCAACATTGTTCCCAGAACCTCAGTCAAGGCATACAATGGGAATCCCCATGGATGGATATCTGAGAGACCGCCTCCTGCTACATACCTCCCAACGTCCGATAAGAACCTACAGGCTAGGCCTCCTCCGGGTGCCGTTGACCGGACAATGCCGGCTGGCAACCACTCGGGGGAGACCCTTTTCTGCAGCTGCTCCGGCTCTGTGGAATGAGCTACCAACAGAGATCCGGACCCTTCCCACGCTCGC